AAAATCGGACAATAACCACGCCCACATTCCATATAACGGTAATTTCGAGAAATACAAAATCTTCGATAAATCAGTAAATATCAAAGCTAATTTATTCAAAATTGATGGTTGCAACAATTCTTTACCAAGAAATACGTTTATGATAAAATTTTGGAAAATGGGCGTGGCACCGCCCACTTGTGATTACATATATGTATCTCGCTAACCGTTCTAGCAATTTGTACCAAACTCGGTATGATTATTATGCTTGCCACATAAAAGCAAACCGTTGAAAATTGTTGAAATCGGTCTTAAATTACGGCCGCTTTTCATATAACAATAAATTTCAGAAATGCTTGAAATTTCAATATGTCGAAATTTAAGGACGCTAATTTACTTAAAATGTATATACCCCGGCTTATCATGTAGCGGTAGCTTTCGGCAAGGTGGAAAACATATCTTTAATACTTGCGCCGGGTATTTAATGTTCGGCTCCGCCCGATCTTAGACTTTCTTACTTGTTTTAAATTTAATTTTGAGAAAAAAATAAAATTTGTGTAGCTCTGTGTATGCCCTTCTAAATCGATTTTTTCTACGATACCACGCATTGAATGAGGAATATTGTCAGGCAAGTTAGGTCATCAAAGACTATAGACACAAGGTGCCGCAACCTGCTCTTAACAATTTTCAGCGATACTCTGCATTTTTCGCCTCATAATTTTTGCAGCATCTACGAAACGATATTTCGGGTCGTTCTCGAAGCTCGAAGAGTACACATTTTGATGCCACGCTTGCTAAGAGATTCGACAGGACGTGCCTTTTAATCACCTTTCATTAGACCATGCATCATACAACAATCCTTACCCAGGCAGCTTGAAAATGGCAAAATCCATACCAATTGAGGTTAGGGTTTCATTAATTTACAATTTAGCAACGAGCCATTAAAGAATTTCAATACTACAATGCTGCATTACACCGATCCGTGCTGCCCGGATGAAACCAATGCCCAACTATATACAGTGGCAGCATTTGTAACATGTATTCTTTAAGTAGAATGTTGTAGAAACGAGCTGTAACTATACAATGTTCAATATATTTTCTCTTCAGACAGAAGGACCTAAAATCAGGCGGAGCTTAGATGACTAATTAAAGAGACTTATGTATTCGTGGATGGATGAAAGAATGCAATTTTAAAATGCTAAAAGGCTTGCATGAGCGTAGAAAGGGTTCTAGCTTCAAGGTTAGGGTGGCAATCTAGCAGAAGATACATACATAAGTATTAGGGTGAATCGAAAAAACAAATAAATTTCTCAATTCGGGTGACCTGATCACATTGAACTATATTAAAGCGTTTTCCGATGGGATAACATTTACTGTCGCCCAGGGAGCTTTCAAAATATCTCTCAACGTATGGTTCTTTTATACCTGTTTTTTAAGATTTTCTAGAAAGATTTTGAGTATGCAGTATTGTAGGCGACTAAGTTGCCAAAAATCTACGCGATTTTTTAACAAAATGAAACTTAAACTTTTCCATACTAAAATTTAATGATTTAATGGGTGCAAAACAGCATGCTCAAAATTTGCTTACAAAATCTTAAAAAAAAGTATACAAGAACCATAATTTGTGAGATTTTTCGAAACTTTTAGGTTCTCGGGAGAATGTAAATCTGCTTTATCCTGAGTTTCGCCTGAAAAAAAAATTCACCCGAAAATTTGTCATCCGCCCATAGTAAAACCATGGAAACCAAAAGTGAAAAGTGAACCGGTTCGGGAAAAATGAAACTCATGATAAGGCTGAATATCATCCGATAGGAAACGGTTTAACCCGGTGCAATGTGTTTTTTTTTTAAATCAAAAAGTGACTTTTTCGCTTCACCCTAATACATATGTAGTAGATATCACACTTTCTTCTAATAACCATCCACTTGCGTCATATCGAAAAATAATAACATTTAGGAGCCTTACTTCGTTCCTTTCCGCTCATTAATTGATATACATAAATAGAGTAGCATATACATGCGTATGTATGTATCCAACACAAATAAATTGTTTCCTAAATTTGTACCATCTTTTTCCCTCTCTACCTATTTAGAAATTTTCAGTTGGTGATCGCGCTGGTCTCTTAAATGATGCCTTCTCGCTCGCCGATGCCACGCAGCTCTCTTACGACACAGCCTTCGACATGACGGAATATTTGGCAAAGGAAACCGAATATGTGCCCTGGAGTGTGGCGGCATCGAAGCTCACCTCACTCAAACGTTCGCTTATGTTCACCGAAGTTTATGGCAATTACAACCAGTATTCACGCAATTTAATAAAGCCAATCTATGAACAAGTTACGTGGACAGTAGGTGATGATCACTTACAAAAGTATGTTTGAAAATAAAAGTAGAATAGTGTTTTTTTTTAGTAAAATAAAATAACAAAAAACTTTTCCTAGCCTCTTGCGTGTTACTATCTTATCGGCTGCTTGCTCCCTCGGTGTGGAGGAATGCCTAACAGAAGCAGCAACACGCTTTAATGCATGGCTTGGTACTCCAGATGTGCGCCCACATCCAGACATTCGTCAAACAGTCTACTACTATGGGGCATATGCCGCTAATGAGCAGTCTTGGAACAAGATGTGGGAACTCTTCGTGAACGAGTCTGATGCCAGTGAGAAATCAAAATTAATGTACGGCCTGTCGGCTGTGCAAGTGCCATGGATTTTGAGCAAGTAAGTGTGAATTTTATTTAATTTTTTTTTTTAACTCCTCCTTACTTTGGTATTCGTGAATCGTTGCAGCTATATCAATCTTGCCTGGGATGAAAATAATGTGCGCAGTCAAGATTATTTCACTTGTTTGCAATATATCGCCGCCAACCCGGTTGGTGAACCAATCGTTTGGGATTATGTGCGCGAACATTGGCCCGATTTAGTGAACCGTTTCGGTTTGAATGAACGTTACTTGGGTAATATGATCCCTTCAATTACGTCGCGCTTCGACAAACAAACCAAATTGGAAGAAATGGAGCAATTCTTTGCTAAATACCCAGAGGCCGGCGCTGGTGCAGCGGCACGTGTGCGCGCTTTGGAGACAGTGAAGAATAACATAGCTTGGTTGGCAAACAATAAGGAAAACGTTGGAGCGTGGCTGACTGAGCATTCCGCCTCATAGAAAATGAACAAAATACATTTAATAAATAGCTTGCCATCTTGAGTGCATTGAAAGTAAATTATACCTTTATTTAATAAAATGTTAAATTCAGTTCACAGACTATTTTTGGCTTTTATGTTCTCAATGAATCGTACAACTTTGAAGCGGTCTACAAACGATGAATAAATGCTTAGCTTGTTCCCAGCTAGATCCCACTTAAAATATATAATACAAACGATGAATAAATGCTTAGCTTGTTCCCAGCTAGATCCCACTTAAAATATATAATACGAAAGCCAATACGATGCCTGAGTTGAAAAATAAGGAGGGTGAAAGGGTTAAAGAACCAAGCGTAGAATTTTACACTCGCAAACGACTTTTCGGAAAAACGTTCAATTTTATGATACGGTTCCCTGATCTGATGTGTAGGTAGCGTATATAATCATATAAAGCTACGAGGAGTCCAGAGAGTCTTTATTCATCCGACTGACTTTGCAAGTTTTTTGATGTCGCTGAAGGCTGTCACCTTTAAAAACGTATTGGCATACGCCACCACCTAGGTCATCATGATGTGCGTCTTCGTATTTGTTTTCGTTTTCGTCCTAGATTTCATCTTCGCCGTCGTATTCGAATTCGTCTCTGAACGCGTCTTTCTATTTACCTTTGGTTGATCGACGTAATCGTATAAGATCTCGTCTTCGGATTTATCTTAATCTTCGTATTCGTCATCAAATTTATTTTCGTATTCGTGTTTCTCTTTTTTCACCTCCTATTCGTACTCCGTATTTGCGTTCATATTTTTTTTCATTTTAATCTAAGTGCATGTCCTAGCATTTTCCAACTCGTCGTTGCATTTTACTTCGTACTCGTGTTCATCTTAATCGTTGCACTGGTCTCCAATTCGTATTCTTCTTCGTGTTAAAAAAACAAGAAACGGTAAAAAATAATATACCGTTAGCAAAGCAAATACAACTAGTATTTAAGAACACGCAACAACAACTTTACGCAAATACGGACATTTTTTCACATTGATTTCAGCCGTAATTTGAAACCATAAAAATTCACCAGAAAAATACGTTTCCAACTATGTTTTTGGTTTTAAGAACGGTCCAGTAGAGCTACAAAGTAAAGCCGGACTAAATTTATGTTAGCCCGTTAATATATTGATTTATTTTTTTTAATAATATACATATTTACAAATTAATTGTTGCATAATTTATGATTTGATTGCGCTGCCTTTTTATATGTACATATGTACGTCAACGTGGCTGGATTGAATGGCTCATTGAATTGTTTACTGGGTTCTTGTAAGCAAACAAACGTTACAGCGGCGCCTAAAAGTACACCACGAAAATTGATAAGCTACTACAAATAGCTGTCTTAAAGCGTAGCCTAATTATTTTCCTATTGGTATACTATGTATGTAGTGGCAATAATTCGTGCATAAGGTGAATAGTCTTATTTAGTTATTTTGCTAGAAGAAGGTAATTATAAAATCTATTATATTTTAAGACTTCCACCAAAATACTTCGATTACGATATTAAAACTTACGTGAGCTGGACCGATTTGAAAATATCTTCAAAACAGGAGTTTTTTACGAATCCAAATAGTTTCTTAAATACTTTTTTCTTAATCCCCTCAAATGACAAAATGGTTTAAGCTTACAAAACTGCATAAAAATATTTAAAAGAAATTTAAAAAAAATTTCAACGGACTCGTAATAACGAAATTTTTGATGCTGTTACTTAACTTTTACAAAGATTGGTATAGGAAAAACTTGAATAACTTGAATTTAACCTAAACTATGCCGATTTAAACTTGCGAGGCATCATTGGAAAGATATTTTCTCACCCTTTTTATTTTTATTTTGCTCATTTATAAGCTCACTCAAAGGGTGAAAGAGACAGATTGGATGAACGAGCGTCATTCCAAGTTAAATTAAGATGTGTTGGTATTTGAAAAAAAATATTGGGACGTGAATGATTTTGTTTTTTTGCACAGAAATAAAAAAGTAGTTATGCTCGTATAAAATATTTTTAAAGCTGATTATTTAAAGACCGAAATGACTTCATTATTAACTTTCTCTTTCCTTCTCGAAAAAAGTTTCGTTTGATGTATTGTGAAACCATATTCCGTCATTCCTTGTCAAGTTTGGTTTAGAGACAAACCGGTTTCGGCGATGTGACATCTTCAGTGTCATTTTTCGTTCTGGAAATTTGACAAGGGATGACTAAAAATCATTCCACAATACATCATACACCTACCCTGTCGGATATATCAACAACGAAAGTGAATTTTGATTTCGTGGGCTCTACATATAAACATTTTAGATTCCATTTCTTTGAAGTAAGCTGCTATTTTATATATTAAATCTAGACGATGTGCAGTGGTTTGAGAGTGGCAGAAAGACCTAATTGCGAAATGTGTGGATATATCCAACTAAGTAGTTGACTCGATTCTAAACATGTCTATTAACAGGTTTTAAGGATTTTTCCAGAGAAAAACTACTCTAGCATTTTTATCAAAGGACATAGGAAGCGGTGTTGTTTGAATTGCTTTTAGCGTCGCTTATATATAAATATGTATGTATTTACAAAAATATCAAACAGGGCATTTGCAACTGCAAAAAAATTGGGCTTAAATAATTTAACCCTCTAACAGTTAAGAGTGCCTCAGTGTACCAAATCTTATTTTTTAATTTTTTCACCACTGATTTTAGCTGTTTTCATCTAAAAGCTTTCAAATATCTTTCTGGTCGTTTAGAGTTTATGATCCCGTTAATTGTGAGATATCTTATTTTTAACAACAAATAAGTGTGTTTACGAATGAGTTCATTGCTCAATAAATGAAACGCGTTTCCTGTTTTAGATAGCAGTGAGCAATTTTTATTTTCTTTTGCAAAAAGAGTAGTATTGCCAACCAATCTATAAATTTTCTTGGACAAAATTAGTGGAAGTGAAAGTTTTGAAAGCAAAAAAAAAACAGTTAAGTGTTTCAAGGAACTGTTGGGGCTTACAGTGTATATTTCTTGTATGGATGTTCTTGTTCTTGGTCGCTATTTTACACTAGATTATGTGGTTTTTTAATTTTATTTTCGATAGGTAGAAAATTGATGAGGGATCAAAAATTCAGGGTTTTTGTGCAAAACTAAATATGCATTTGTGCTGCTCAAAGGTCGAAAACTGTTTTTTTGAGTATCAAAATCTTGTTCAGTAATTAAAGTTAACATTTAATTGTAATAAACTTTATTTAACACTTTCTTCAATGAAAAATGAAAAATAAATCATCAACACATTTTGTCTATATTTTTGTCAGCTAAAGCATAAACAGTGCCCTGAGGCACCTAACGAATAAGAAACAAAGTGAATGCCTAATTTGAACTTATCGGACCGAAAATAGCCTAGAAAAAATTTTCCGTTATTTTTTTCCTTATTATAGAAATTAGTGGTAGAGGGTTTAAGTCTTGTGCTCCATATAGCCTTTCAAAATTATATCACATGCATACATATGGATATGTTTTATGAAGTGACTGCAAAAAGATAAAAATTTATGTACTATTTACGAAATTCCGTGCGTGCAGACCAGTCGATCGATAGTGTCTGATAATGCTCGTTTATCCAAATGCATTCATAAAATGATAATAAAATTACTGAAAATTGAAAGAAAAAATAATTAAGTTACACATACAAGCAGGTGTCTTGAATAAGCTATACAATATACTCAGTATTGGATATTCATACATATATTCAAAGTAGGCAAGAACGAGGCCTCAGTAAAATACTTAAATTAGTTCGGCAGGGTCACTCCACCGAACAAGTCTAACCACTGAACATTTTGTAATATCTCATAAAAAAATATCCTGCCTGCTGAACAATATGATATGTAAGTGTGAAAAAGGGATATTTCATATACTAAAGTAAAACTTGTTTCTTACAATTCACTTTAATTTTTGTTTATCTCTTCAAGTGCTGACTGTCAAAAATCTGGCAATTTTCTTTGCCTTGGCCACGACAGCTTTTTGTGTTTCCACCATTGTTTTGGCTGTGGAAAAAGCTCAATTAGAGGATGAATTACAAGATGCTTTGGATAAATTAGATGCCATATCAACGGTCCCAACTACGGCGACACCCAGTGCAACAACGCAGACAACGGCAGCAACTGTAATTGCAACCACTGAGTCGACACCAACTCCACCAACAGCCGCTTCAACGGCAAGTACTGCCACAACCGTAACTGTAGCATCAACAGTTGTTACGGCCTCCACAGAGACGACGCGCACAACACAGGGCGTTGCAGTGCCAACAATTACCATTACCAGTACCGAGGTAACACCTGTGACATCGAATCCCAACTATCCAACACTACCAACAGGATTGCCAGATCCAGAAGAGGTAAGTCGAATTAGGAAGTTTTTATTTTATAAAGGTTTAATTGAGAGCATTAAGGCGCTTTCACCATTAGAAATAGCTATTAGGCATTCTTCATTAACTGAAGCCCCTGTTTATCCAAAATTGGCTCGGGTAAAAAAATCCGCTATGGTCTGGAAAAAGGTTTACTTTGAGTGCGATTCTTTTGAATTCCAATAATTTTGAAAAATGACTGGATTCATTTGAAACTTTTTATTCGGGGGTTTCTCCAGACCTATCTCTGCATGTCTCTAAACAAATTGACCATCAAAAACTGAAACACAATGACTTCATTTATTTAATTTAATTAATTCAATATTTCTTATTTTATTTTATTTTAGTTATTTTGATTTATTTTACTTGATTATTTAATTTTCTAGGATTTTGGTAGTTATACCACTCTGGGCCGTTAAATTATAAAATCAACTTAACTACAGAAAATTATATAGACAATTCTGTAACTAAGTTTAACTAATGATTTAACTATATCTTAGAATAAATAAGTTAACGGCCCTCTAAATTTTTTAAACCCCTCATTTTTCAGTATCCAAATTTAGTGGCAGAGCAAAGACTTTATCTAAAAGGGTATAAAGGTATTTACTTCTACCAAGTAG